CCTGCCAAACCTAGAACATAATCAGAAAATCATGCAGCTGAATGCCCCACTGGAAAAGTCATAATCCCCATATTCTAACATCCTTTGAAAAACTAACCTGAATTCTAGTTTGGATCAAATATCTGGTCCAGGATTCTGTATGTGCCTATCAGATTTTTAGCTAATATATATGATTGCAGCAATGATTGACACAAAAAAATATCTTCTGCTCCAGTGTTCACCCAACTTTTTTTGAAAAGCCTGGAAAAATCAAGAATTAGAAGAAACTAGAAGAAATAGGCTAAAAGTGAGTTGGTTGTAACACCTCCCCCCCAACCTGCAAAATAAAACATATAGCAAAGATAGGAGTTCTATGTTGCATGGTTACAAAACACAATATTCTTAAAACTCCAATACTGTTTGACTATGATCCCCCTTAATCCCCATTTCTTGGTTCTAAGTTATGAAATTGTGTATCAACACAAACATCAACAGTGGATAAGATGTGAGTGTTATCAATTTCTTTGAAACAATGACACCATCAGTAGATTTAACAAAACATTAAATAGAAAGTTTCATTTGAATTCAAATGATTAAGAAATTGTTATGGTGACATAATCCTTTCCCAGTCTATTATTAAGTCCAGACAAAATGATTTCTAGTGACTCAGACCATTAAAAAAATGAAGAATACAAAAATCTCTTCCTACAAAACAGAAGATAACAATAAAACTGAAACGTGATGCTGCCCACCAAATTCTGGAATTTTAAAAGAGATAAACATATTAATGGCCACACATGATCATGACTATTGATCAACTTAACAGTAAGGAGTAGCATGACTCTCAATTTCAGGTCCTGGGAAACATGAATGGGAGGGTAGTGCTGCAACCAAGTTTTGCTACTGGACTTCACATTGCCTCTTTTAGAATGGAAAAGAAGATTAGGTCAGCCTTGACCCAATCCATCATGGCAATCCATTACATCTCTATCAAGATTTATGGTGGCAGCAACTAAAATATCCATAACCTAAAAATGGGACACTAGCATCCAACTTTTCTACTTTTGGTATTCCGAACTTTTAGAAAGCATCCTTGACAGATATAATCACATACTGTATAATACTTCCAGTGAAGTTCATTAGGTTTAACACCCCTTCCAGTCTAACTTTATCCAGCTTGTTAAAAATTGAGAATTAATTAAGACAGGTTTGTTTTACATCATGTGGGTTCTATGGGAAATAGGATTGGAAGTCTTGAAGGGAAAGTCTTTTAACAGGAGGCCTATCTGATATTTTAGATACACTTCATTGGCTATGGAATTACTACCATTCTCCTTCCTTCCTTCCTTCCTTCCTTCCTTCCTTCCTTCCTTCCTTCCTTCCTTCCTTCCTTCCTTTCTCTCTCTCTCTCTCATAATTTTTTGAAGATGTTGAGTACGATTTCATCCTCTTATTAATTAGCCTACTCTTTTAGCATTTAGATGTTTCATTTTTTTTTCTATTCTAGCTAAATATTGAAAACACTGAAAATATTAGCAATTAAATAACTCAGCTTTATTTTATCATCAATCTTACTATTGTGTCCCAGCTAGCTGTTTCTTATCTGTGTGATCTGTTCAAACATTCTGTTTTTCACTATGAGCTCTTAAACTTCAATAAACAAATAAAATGTTTTTTAAATGAATGGAATGTTGCTTAAAGACACAAAAAATATAGAAGATACTGGTAGAAAAGCAATTTGGTAATTTTCAAACACAGACTCAGGTTTTGTCAGCAGTTGTTTGCCCCACAATATTTTGATTAAAAATGATATGGAATGCTGAATTACATTGCTGATCCATAATCCACATACTGATTGAGTTCATACATCACAGTAATCCACATTATGGTATGTGCCTATCTTTTATTCTAATGAACTAATTTAAAATATTGCCCCATATACAGCGGGGTATAACTTACTTGCTAACACATAACTCTCAGATTCATAAATGTCTCAGCACTCAGCATAGATGTTTCTTCACGTTCTTGCAGAAAACAATAGCATTCTGTATACATTCTCCTCAATAAGAAGTGTCCTTAAAATATTTTCTTCAAGCTGTTAAAATAAGAACTGCTGATTTACTTTTCTAAGAAAGCTGAGTGATGTAACCCATCTCTTAACCCCAAAGGAAATTCCTATATTAAATCATTTCCCTTATGAATTTCTATCTTATTTAGGGCTTACCAGTTTGTAAGTCTAGTTGATTCATCTGACATTTTTTTCAAGAAGTGCATTTTGAGAGTTTATAGATATTGCAGATGATAACAAATGATTTGTACTGTCAGCTGATACAATTGCAATTTCAATCCATATATTTATCCTTCATAGTCTGCTTCTGTGTTGCCTTGGAATCTCTTCCAGACAATTGTAATGATCACTCTTTTACTCTATTGATCACTCATTTTGATCTCCAAAGAAAGAAGTCTCTTGGAATATAAGTTATTCCTTGCTCTAAATATTACAAAACATGAAATAATACAAGAAAAATTTATTCATTTCTGGATGGTAATGCATCCATTCCTCAATTCTATAAGAAGGAATTTTAACTCCAAATAAATTTATATTTAACAGAATAGAAGTCTTCTATCCCCTTTTCTTGACATCCTAATAAAGATAACCTTTTTTCCCGTTTAGGCAGGCAATATCACTAGAAAATCACACTGGATAATTTCTTACCTGAAGGCAAGAAAAGTCAGCCTGAAATTCACAGAGCACCCACTGTATTCAGACAGGTAACATCATGACACAATGGCCACTTTCTATTGATCTGGTAGGTAACATCACTATATCATCACAATGGCCGTAATTTCTATTTCTGGCAGGGAGCATTAAATTGGAAAAATCCAATTCCCAGGTCACTAGCGGGAGGCAAAGTGGAAATGCATGCAGTCAGATGGGCTGTTAATGGCCCTATAATGAAATCTTTGTGTGCAACAAATGGATGGGGCAGTAAAAGACAACTAGACCCTGTCTGTGGAAGTGTATATTTCTGCATCATTGCACAGATATGAGAGTGGGAGATAGAAAGAGTAGCTCCTGTATGCATTATAAGGCATGGTGCAGTATTAGACTTACATTTAATAGTGGAAGAATGTGCTTCTGAGCATGCAACATCAGCTTTTACCATTTCCATTACCTAGCAAGAAGGAAAAAAAAAGAGGGGGGGGACTGAAAAAAGTTTTGGTTCAGCTATCTACAGTGGTTCAGCTATCTACAGTGATATTGGTTTATATTAAAAATATTAGCTTACTGTTCTTACTTTGAAGTGTTTGAATTAACAAGCATGCTTATGTGTATGCATTGTTTCTTGAATTTTATACAAAAAAAACACAATGAACACATGTCCCTTGCAATTAAATTTATTGCCATGTATTAGTTACTAAAATTGTAATGGGATATTCCATAGAGTTTTCACAAAATCAGATTAGATCTTAACTGGGGTGGGAGAGAGTTGGATTGCCACCTCTTTTGTTATAAATACCCTTTCTAAAATATCAAGCAAGCCAATGTTTAAATTTGAAAATAGACAGTCTGATTGAAAATCAGAGTTAAATTAATTTCCTGCTGGCTCATATGAAAAGGTAAAGGTGAGGTCTCCACAAATATTTCTTGAAGCCTAAATCTATCCTAGTAAAATTCTCTATACATTCATTCTGGATTTTTTTTTAGATGATGATGATGATGATGATGATGATGATGATGATGATGATTATTATTATTATTTTCAGGATCCAAATCTAGATTCTGAGAAGGTAGTGACTGATTTTTCTTACTCTTTTAGAACCAAATACAGATCAGAAAATGAAAGACAAATATTTTTTGTAATTAATTATAGTGTTGTACAAAGTCATAACTTGTTTGCTTCCTGATAAAATTCTCTCCATATTCAGATACTTTTGGTTTCTAAGGATCCAACTCCAGCTTCTGATTATGTGGTTTTCCTTGCTGTCTTGGGATCAAATCCAGATCAGAAAATGTGAGCGCCATCTTTTTCCTTGTCATGCATCTGTGTCTTCCAATAGATTGTTCCTAAGGACAAGATTCCTTTGACTCAGTGAATTTTTACCAAACTGATATCCAGTTTTCCAGAATAATATTCATGGCAGATAACAATAATAGAACAATAGGATGGAATAAAAAATATATCTGCAGTATTGTGGGCAGTTATCAAGGAAGACAATTTCAGTGCAGCCCATTTTATTAAGATTAATAGAAATATTCT